TTTCTTATAAAACCTACTGTCAGCCCACTAGTTTCCATCACCGCCGCGTCTATTCTGTTTCTATCTATAATACCAAGTCTATAACTTGCCATGTCCTAGTCTTCTGTGTAACAACCCACAAACGCTGTGGTTCAACATTTAACCTAACCAAAGCAAGCAGTACCACATCATTTATGGGTCTTGACTTGTCTCTGACGAGTTCATATTTTGGTGCGGAGAATGGCAAAGCTCACTGATGATGCCGACTACGATGCCGGCGAAACGTTTTAGAATGTATCAAGTCCACTGTCAGATGCTGGGAATCATGACAACTACAATGGCAGACGACTTCGGACTAGGTACGTTCTACATAGTCTCCCTGAAAAAAGGACCAAGTTGCGACAACGAGGTCAACCCACTTCTAAAATTAATAAAGTTTATCACCTGCTTTGCTCTTTTAAGATTTTTAAAATTATATTCTCTCATTTTATTCTCTTTTCCTCTCACCAGCACATCCTCTCGAGTCAACCACTTGGTTCGGCCAAGGAGAATGATGAGGTGCACACCGTCGTGCTCTGCTCTGGCAAGCACTTTTATGCACTCCAGACCTATTTGCAGGAACAACTGTCCCCTCAGGCTGCACGTCATTATGCCTTCATCCGTATCGAACAATTGGCCCCATTCCCGATAGTTGAGTTGGCTTCAGAACTTAAACGCTATTCGGGAGCCAAACGCTTTATCTGGAGTCAGGTAGGCTTAGTCCTCCTCATTTCTTTCTACTTTCCTATATTGCCTTGTTTATCTATTCTATTTTACTGCTTGTATGAAGACAAAACAGTAAATTGTTTCTTCGTTCCGCGGCTGTTAAGAGGTTGAGGTCCTTTGGGGTTTCCTTTTAGTCGTGTTATCATTTCATTGCATTTTTACTCCAGGCTCTTTATTATACCCTTAGTTTAACCGAGGTTTCTGTCATATCCATTATTCTAGCTCAATTCTGGTATCTTGTGAATTGAGGCATAATGGGTTTCTAAAATTACCGTTAGTTTTTAGTAACAGATAAGCATTACACATTCCTGAGCGTAATGAGTACTCTTCGACACTGTTTTCGTTTCTTCATTGAAGCTTTATTTGAACTCAATTCTGGTCGTATAGGTTCAGCTGTGATCTGTTAGTCTAACTGATTGACTTGGATTGGGCTCTGCTTGTTGATTATGCCAATAACCTTTCTTCCCCTTTTTATTGACATACAGAACCCACTTCCAATCTCAAGTTACGATTGGATAAAGCAACGCTTCCTTTTCCTGCTTCCCCAAGGAAATCCTTTGGTTTATCTAACTGCCTATACATTTTCAGCTGAGGATTTGTATGAAGACAACTCTGATGTCTCTTATTCATCCTCGTCTCTTCGAAGATGTTAAAGCTCCATTGTAGCCACCGAAATGACTAGGTTGTTGGCGTAACGATGTCAATGAAAGAGACTGAAAGCTCCCGTTCATATTTTGGCTAGCAGCATTGATTGCCATTTTTTGGATTTCTGTCCTGACGAATTATACAG